TACCTTGTGTTGACACGCAATTTTGACCCCCCCCAATATAAATTAATCATCGAGCTTCCTAAAATCTAAACGATTTGAAATAATTAGCTTCATGAAATTCAAAATAATTTTCAAGTCATTTTAAGTAATTTTGTCATTTTTATAAATTTTTAAAATAATAAACATGATGTTTTATATAATTATGTGTCAAATTAGTACATTTTATAAATATTCGAAAATTGTCTCAAAACGATTTAGTTTATTTTAAATATTTGGCTATTTGGTTTAAATTAATTAGTAACTTATATTTCGAGTTAATTAGTTTATAATTAAGTTAATTATTATATAATTATGTGTCTAATTAGTATATTTTATAAATATTTGAAAATCATATCAAAAGATTTTTATTTCTTTTTAGCTAAGTGTTTTACTAACTAAGTTTAATTTAAATCATAATTACGATTTTGAATTAATTAGTTCATGTTTATATTAATTATATTATTATCAAGTTAATTATTTTATTTCGTTAAGAATAAGAAGCTCGTTAATTAATTAATATTAAATTCATCTTATTTATTTATTTATATTTTTAGCCACATTCTCCAAGTAAATCTGATTTGGTTAATTTCATAATCCTAATCGGTTACAATCGCAATTCTTTTGGCCAAATCCTCAATTAAAAACCTAGCCATTTTATTACAATTTTAACCCATTCCCCACCTTGCATCCAATTCTTTTAAAGACCAAAGTTGGGCCAACCTTTAGCCCAACTTCAGTCAGCCCACTTCCAATAACATTTAAAACTAATACATACAACATCACTTCAATATTCACAGCCCATTTCCCATTCCAATTCATCAACCCAGGCCCATTTCTTCCCCCCAGCCCGCTTTCATTTGTTCACAAGACCAACAATACTATACACAATACATTCAACAACTCCAAACAATGTACAGCACAAATGACCCTGGTACCACGCTTCTTCTTCCTCGCGTGAAGAGCAGTGAACGACGACAAATCCAGTAGTTCGACGTCTCTCTCCAAATTGTACGATTCCAGCAGTTGCGTCCTCCGTCCTTCCCCATTTCCCCTTTCGGAATGAGTTAAAACCTCATGAAAAGGGTGTTTGTCCGAAAGGGTGAAAGTTTTTGAATTTTGAAATTCGAATGGGCTCTTTCCTTGAATCCGAATTCTATCCATTTTCCCCCCAAAAAAAGGATTGGAACCTTAAAACCCCTCTATAAATACTACCCTCTGTTTTAGTATCGGGGGGGTCTTTTTTTTAGCTTGGAACAAAAAATACAAGGCAAGATTTTTGGTAGAAATACAGAGAATAACCTTTAGGAACAAGTAGCGATACACTCGAAATACGCTTCTAAATAGAGAACTGTTAGGACTTCTGCCCAGTTCTTTGACTACCGTTCGCGTTCGAGTTCCTCGTGGTGAAAGCCGTCACTTCTCTACTTGTCCCACCCTGTTCACTGCCGCGCGAAAGGTAAAATCCTTTTCAGTTTCAACTTTTTTTAGTTCGATGTGTTGTTTATTTTTTTGACAAGCTGAAGTTGTTTGTCGATTTATTTTCTTCTCGACTACCTTTATTCTTTTGGATTCGCTGCTCATCTGGGAGCCAAGTTCTTGAGTTGTAGTTGGGTTTTTGATTGTTTGAGATATAAGAGATGCTCTTGTAAGTGTTGTTATTCGTATGAGTCTTAGAATTTCTCTTTGAGTTAGCTATCATGTTAAAAGGGTCCATTTCGTTCAAACGAAACCTTTACCATAGATGTGATGCCGCTACTTTGTCTCGTGTCTAGCTTTCCGTTCACTTTAATTCATGATGTTGTGCCTTAAATTCCTTCGTGGAAGTATCTCGGTTTAAATAAAATCTCGCTGCTTAGATATTAAAAAATGGTCCTCTCATGTTGTCCGGTCTAAGGCATCTTTCAGGAGCATCACTTTTTCCTCAACTTAGTTGGGTTTATTGATGCAGTGTCACCTCTTTGAATACTTTGTTTACTTACATTACTCTACTTATATTCAATAGGTTAGGATAAGTGGAATTGCTATTATGTTTGGTTTCAAGACATCACCGATTTCTCATCCCTTTGCTTTAACATAGATTAGATTTGCTACTGTCTCTTACATTCTGCCCTCTTAGCATGATAACTTGGCACCATTAGAATATACTAAGGGAGTTAGTTTGGCTTATTATGTGAGATATATATTTTATTTTTATTTTTTTTCTTAAAGTGATATGATAAACTTTCTTTTTCTCATTATTATTTTTTGGTTAGTTACTGTTTAGTTTTGGTTGTTGGTCACATTTTCATATAGTGTAATTTTCCCTGTTTTCTTCTCCTGTGAGTGACCACTAATTTTATTTGTTGAGACATACATTCTTGTTATTGCTAGGAGTTGAGATTTAGTTTGTTTAGTTTTGTCATTTGTTAAGCTAACATGCTTTTGTTTTCCTTAAAGATTCCTCGGATATTTTAGTCTACTAGTTGAGTTCGGTTGCATCTTGGTTTTGAGTCTCTTTAATAGCTTTTATTTCAAGTTGTGTTTCATTTGTTCTAGCTAACTCCAATGCTAATTCTTGCCTTTTTTGCTTTGTGGTACGAACTCTCTCCGAGTCTATGATGGGTTTCTTTCCTTCGCATTTCCGAATCGAGCCATAAAGGCTCGAACACCTTTTCATCACCAAGTCAGTCATTTCATCGAGTGTGCATGGCAGAATGTGAAGTGCATGAAGCTGGAACTAAATTTTAGCCCCAAAAAAAAAAAAAAAACCCAAAAGAGGGCAGTATACATGATGTATACAGCTGTATACACAAGTATACACGGAAGAACAGTGATATACAGGTCTAAAGCGATGATACAGGTGTTGGAAGTTTGCGGTGGGCTGTATACACTTGGTATACAGCCCAATATACACAAAAATGGGTCGAAATACATGCCGTATACAGCCGTATACACTTGATGTATATACAGATTTTAAGTGCAAAAAGGGAGGCGAAAATGGGCCAAAAGCCCAAGGGAATTTCAGCAAGTCCAAGATTTGGGCCAAAGGCCCAAATTTGATATTCCTCCCTTACTCTTATTTATTTTGTTATATTTGACTAACGTTTTGATTATCTTATGATTTAATTTAATTAAACTCCCCAAGAATGGTCATTTCATTTTATTTTCGAATTAAAGATATATATTTTATTACTTAGTTTTTTTTTGTTTTTTTATTTTAATGTTAGTCTTATCAACACTTAAGCTATCCCCCCTTTAGAAAATTTCCCTTTAGTTCATTCCCCCTTAAGATAAATAAAATGATAAAAGTAGTAGTAGTAATAAATAAGTAGGTTAAAATAAATGAGTTTTTACTTAGCCAAAATTTCCATAATTAGTTAAAGTAAATGAGTTATTTTATTAAGTCAAAGTTTTCAAAAGTTAGTTAAAGCAAATAAGTTCTTTCATTTAATTAAAGTTTTCTTTCAAAAAAATTAGTTAAAATAAAATGAGTTCTTTTACTTTAGTTAAAATTTTAAGATTAGTCAAAATCACTTTTAGTCAAATCACCGGTCAACCGCAAGTTAGCGGGCATTCCGAGGGCCTAACACCTTCTCGGAATGTACATTGAACTCGGACCCTTTTATTTTCAATTGATTTTATCTGTTTAAATCTTTTGAAAACCTTATATTTTTTCTTGATTTTTTTTACTAAAAATTAAGTGGCGACTCTGTTCTTTTGGAAATTCGATTTCTCTTCAACTATAAGTTTAATCGATTCTCCAAAAATCTCAGTCATTTTCCCTTTACATATATTTTTAAATAAAACACCTTGTCAGAAAAGAAAACATATTTATATATTTTTGGAGGGTGGTTATCCACACGGATGATTCCGGATCGATCCCTCCTCAATGTCTTTTGAGTCGAGCCCTGTCGCATAGGGCTTGGCAAGTGCAGTTTACACTCCCTGTATGATTTGCAGGCTATTACATAGTGAATGGTTTACCCAGTGCGCATAAAGTGCTCACTCTAAAGGCAAAGGATGTGGCAGAGGTTATAGCAGCTGAGGTTATTTTGGGGTTTAAAAAAAAACATAATAATCTGTAGTAACACAACTTTTTCTATACCATGAAATTCGCAACAACATTGTCACTTGATAACAAGTACGATCATATATTTAACTTAATATTGCAACAACAATTGAAATCTCGAAAAATAATGATGTTGCTTATTTGGTAAAAACACATACTACACATACAGAAAAATAAAAAATTAGATAGGAGATTAAACCTCTGTTTCATTGGATAAAAATCCATATTCATCCTCCTCCTTAGATAGTTCCAAACACTAATTTCACTCTGAAAATACCATTCTTCTTCTTTGAATTTTTGCATAATTTTCTTGAAAACCCAAAGTAACATTTCGCCTTTGGAAAGCAGAAAACAGAGGGAAAACAGGGTACGTGAACAGAACCGATAGGAACCGGTTTGAACCGGATCAGAATTGGTTCTTATCGGATCATTGTGTACCGGTAATTTTTTTTATTTTTTATTAACTTTAATTATTATATAATATTATATTATTAAAAAACTTCAATTTAAAAGTTTAAACTTTAAAGTAAACTTTGAAGTTTCATTGTTTTAATTGAATTTAAGTTTAAACTTTAAAATTTAAAATTGACTTTAAAGTTTAAAGTTGGGCAAAGAGTCAAAAATACCCCTCAACTGTGGTTTATTGTTTGACTTTACCCTCGCCGTTAAAATAAAGTTAATTTTACTCCTCCCATTACTAATTTCACCAAATTTACCCCTTATTAAACTGAATCCCCAAAATTGACCTGAATTTTAAAAAAAAACCCTATTCCCTATTTTAACCCACCATTTAGAATAACCCGGTTAACCCTATTTTACCCATTCTCCCAAATTTTCTTTACCCATTTACCCATTCTCTCTTTGAATAGCTAATCTCCTTTTCTTCCAAATTTTTCATTGTTCTTCTTGCATTTCTCTTTCTTTCACCTCGAACTACTCACTAACCCAAGAGCAGATCTTGAATATTAACCTCAACTAATTTTCTACTATATTGACAAAAATGAAAAAAATATTAAAATGAACAGTTTGATTTCCCCCAAAAGTTAAATCTACTCAGGTATTGCAGTTAATCTCGCCGTAAACTTCCCTATCCTCCTACTACCACCAGTACTCCTCACTCTTCTCAATTCCGCAGCAGCGGCGGCGGAATCGTTATTATCTCTTCTTTTCCCTTTTTTTTCTACTAAGAAATCTGAACCTTTACGGCGATAACAGTATTTCTCACCGCCACAATTGTTCAATGCAGAACTAGCTTTTACAGCTAATGCTGCCATTTCCTCTGCCTTAAGCCTACGTTTCAGTTTGCTTAACGGCAACACAAAGTAAAGTTGACCGGGTTGAAGCTCTTCATCGGCACTTATGCCGGAAACCACATCACCGAAATCCATTTCTTCATAATTACATATGAATATTGACGTATCTTTCTGTAACAGGTAGGAAGCCTTTACTGGATACGCAAAGTAAAGGGACTCTATTTTGTGACATTTTCTAATGGAAAATTTGGGAGAAAAGGAGACTATCTATTCAAAGAGAGAATGGGTAAAGGAAATTTGGGAGAATGGGTAAAATATGGTTAATCGAGTTATTCTAAATGGGGTTGGGTCATTGGGTTTAAATAGGGAATAGGTTTTTTTTTAAAATTCGGGTCAATTTTGAGGATTTCGTCTAATGAGGGATAAATTTGGTAAAATTAGTAACGAGAGGGGTAAAATTAACTTTATTTTAACGGCGAGGATAAAGTCAAACAATAAATCAAAGTTGAAGGATATTTTTGACCCTTTGCCCTTTAATCTTTATATTGAATTTAAAGTTTAAAATTGACTTTAAAGTTAAAGATTATATTGAATTTAAAATTTTAAACCTTAAAATTCATTCTTATATCAAAGTTTAAACTAATATTAAAATAGTTGAAAATTAAATTTGTAAAATGACTTGGATTAAATATAAGAGAATATTTTAAAAGTAAATCAAGGCGAATAGCCGAATATTTATTCAAATAAATAAATTGTACAATACAAATATTAGAAAGAGACAAAAAATACATAATCTAGGTATTGAATATTAATTATTGTTCTAACAATTGAAACGTATTTTAAAATCTTTTCAGAACTTTTGTATCATTTCAAAAAAAACATTTTTTGGAACTTGTATTTGTCCTTCTTCCATTGCTGCCATGCCATCATCACTATTATCACCAAATATTTCATTTATTTCGTCTTCTATTTGGCTACTTAATTGTGGTAGTCCGATATTTCTTCTTTCAGCGTTGACCCAACCTCGAAACAACATCGATATTTCCAAACTATCCTTTGCTAATGAATATCGATGATCTCCAATCATAAATCTCGCCGCACTAAAGGCTTGCTCCGAAGCGATTGATGATGTTTGAATCACTAGCACATCTCGAGCAACCGTAGCTAGGGTTGGAAATTGATTTTCACGATTCTTCCACCATACTAATATTTGAGCTTGAAGTTGTCCTTCTTCATGCCTAATCTTTTTTCGTGCTTGATTGAAATATAAATCAAAATCATTATTATTAGATGATTCAAGCTCAAGATAATTATCCATCCAATCATCTGTATCATCACTTCTAGGCCTACAAGATGGAGGTTCAACTATTGTAATGTTTTTTTCCATAGCTTTATATGTATTATATAACTCTCTAGCTTTTGTATATATGCTATTTTTACAATCTTCAACACTAGAAGTTTCATCATCTTTAATTTCTAAATTTGCATAAATCTTTTCAACCATTCTTTCAACACCTTTTAATTTGTAATTTGGGTAGAAAGTAGTAGCAGTCAAATAGATTTGAGAAATACGAAAAAAATATTTTTTGAATTTTTCAATCATAAAAGCAAGTGAATGTTTAAATCGATCTTTTCCTCTATATTTTCCAAATTCAGATGAAATAGCACAAATATTTACTAAAACAGAAAAAATAGTTGGATAATATTGACCAGAAGCAACATTTGTTGCTTTATAAAACACACTTAAAAAATTCAATAAGTTCTTTTGTATTTTCCCAATCTTTATAGCCAATTCTTAAATTCGGGTCCGCATTATGAGCATTAAAAACTAATTGTACCGGCTCTTGATAAATATAAGCAACTTCAAGTATTTCAAATAAAGAATTTCATCTAGTGCATACTTCTTTTGGAACTTTTCTATATGCAAGTCCACATTCTTTACAACGATTTTTAAATTCTGTAATTCTAGCTTTTATTTTAGCTTCAAAAATCCAATTACAAGCAAGTCTAATTTTTTCACAAGAAATTCCAAATTGAGAAATACCATCTTTTATTATCAAATTATACACATGTGCGGCACACTTAATATGAAAAGAATCATTATCAATTGGACAAGTCTACATTTTAAATAATCAATTACTTTTAAATTATTAGAAGCATTATCTAAAGTGACACTCATTATTTTATCACATATTCCATAAAATTGTAAAATAGAGCCTATTTTTGTTGCTATATAAGAATCGATTTTAGTTTCTTCAACATATTTATACTCTAATATTCATTTTTGCATATTCCATTCATGGCCAATCAAATGGACAGTGATTGTAAAATAATCATTACCATTAGGACTACGTCCCACATCAGAAGTAATAGATAATCTACCATCATAATAAACAAATAACAACGAAGAAAATGACAATATTCTTTTTGATATTTAAAAAGATCACTTTTAATTGTACTTCTTGGAATACCTTCATAATCTGGGTTATATAATTCTCGAATATAATGAACAAAACCAGGATGTGAAGGAAATGAAAAAGGGAAACCACAAACATCAACCATTTTAGCTAATTCTCTACGATCTTTTTCTTTACTATATGTGTGGTGTCGCGTGCTTCGGCTAGCCGGGTTAGTCATATTTAATACTCTTTGAACCATATTAGAACCTCCAACTCCCATAAAATTTTAAGGTATGAGTATTCCATTTCTATTAGCCCTTTCTATATCATCTAGGCGGGCAAATTCTTTATTACACTTTCTCAAATATGTTCTTAGTCGTCCCGTTCCCCCTTGTGTACCGGTAGTTACATGTTTCATGGTCAATTTACATTTCGTGCAAGTAACAATAGTTTTTCCTAATTTTGTACCAATAATTTCCATACTAAAGATCTTTTAACACGTACAACGGTCTTTGAAAAAGTAGGTAAAGAGGGGACTTCATCTTGTTCCGATAATTCGGTAGCCGGACTAGTAGGGGTAGGGGTCTCATCATCTTCTTCATTTATTTCTACTTCCTCATTTAATTCTTCGTCAAAATTAGTAAAACATCTATTAAAAGTCTCGTGTTCTACTTCATTTTCGGAATTAAATTCAATAGGTCCTCATGACATAAAAGAAGTTTCATCAACATGAGTATAATCATTAGTATTAACTCTAAATCTAGGTGGCAAATGTTTAGAACTAGAACTATTTTCTCCTCCCCTATTATTTTTTCCTTCCGACATTGGTCTTTTATCACTATTTCTTTCCAAATTCATGTTCAAGTTTAAAATAATTAAATATTATGAAAAACAAGCAAGATAATATAACAAAAAAATAAAATAACTTAGTTAATAAACAAATAAAAAATTAAAGTTGGAACGAATGTACCGAATGTTTACGTAAAATTAGACGTATAACCAAAGCCGGAATTGAGAGATGCCAATTGAAGCTTCCGATTTACTTCAAAAAAATCTCCGAAATCTGAACTCCAAGTCAATATCACAAAATAATAATTATGAATTTATGAGAGATTGAAAATTAAGAGATTTTATAAGATGTTAATGAAATAGTTTGTAAATTTGTGATTTAAATGAAAGAATATGGGTATATTTATAGTGTTAAGGGGTGAGAGAGGTGTGGGGGTTGTTTTGGGCCCCAACCCAATGGCTATAAATTAACGTTCAACTTTTAAAAAAAATAAAAAAATAAAATGGGAAGTGACCGTTGAACCGGATCAACCGGACAAGAACCGGACCGGAATCGGTTCTTACCGAATCAGATCAAACGGATAAAAAACAGGGTTCCATTTCGATACCGATTCCGGTACCCTATAAGATCGGTTCCTTACCGGTTCAACCGGTCCGAACCGGACCGGTCAAAACCCTGTCCAATTGTCAGCCTTAGGTAAAATAAGGTCGCTATTATTTTTTTTAGTGGGTTGGGTCATTAAATGTTATTTTTTTATTTTAAAAAAAATTGTTTTGAATAAAAAGTTTCATGCCAACAAATTTTATTGAAAAAATTAATTAAATAGGTTGAATGACTTTGTAAGTACTTGAAAGTAAAACACATATAGTTTAGTGATTTAATGTGAAAAAAAATTCATAATTGAAAGACTTTTGAGTTAAAAATCAAAGTTGAGTGACTTTCTATGTAAAGAGTTCATAGATGAGTGACTTTAAAGTTAAAAATCAAAGCTGAATGACTTTCAGTGAAAAGAACTCATACTTGAGTGACCATCTAAGATATTTAGTATTCGGTATTTGGTTCAATATGTTCAAAGTTTGATTTAATTCAGTAATTGTTTATTGTGTTGGGTTTTAGGCCTTTTCCCCTTCCTATGTGGATAAATAAAAGTCCAAGGTTTTGGGTCTTTCTTCCTTTCCTTTGTGGATAAATTTAGTTCAATATGAGTAGCCCACCTTTGCTCATAAGCCCAATATTATGGTGCATATGTAAGACTTTCTTTTAGGTCTTATTTGAGAAGAATCACAAGAGTTTGAGAGCAGTCATATAGAGAGAAAGTGAGAAAGTGCAGATTTTCGCACATGCCCTTGCAGACAATTTCAAATTGTGATTCCCGCTTTGTTTCTTATCCAATTGAGTTGATTTTTGGACAGCTTGTTCCTTTCAACTTGATCTTTGATTGGGAACTGAGAGAGGGTGATTTGGAGTCCTGTAGCTCCAGTATTTAGCTTGTGAACAGTAGCTGCGGTTTGATGTTTTTGCTTCTTTTATTTCTCTAGTTTTTGGTGTTATCTTGTAATTGTGTTGCTCATTGTTTGGCACTTTGTTGGTGGTCATTTTGGAGAACGCTTTTGTAACTCTTGTTGATTTTAGTGGAGCTTTGGCTTTGTGGTTTTTACTCTTCACACCGAAGAGGTTTTTCACGTTAAATTTGGTGTCTCGTGTGTTGATTTATTTTTCTTGCTTGGTTGATTTGTTTGCTGCCCAAACAGTTTTATTCTTGCATTATTTTGCTTTCTCTTGGTTCAAATAGAAGGAAAAGTTTTGACTTGGATTTTTCTTCCGCTATCTCCCTGTTGTGCACATTTATTATGTGCTTGCCTTTCCCAACATATTGAAAGTAGATATTAGATATTGAATTTTTAAAGTGTAGTATAAAAAATCAAACTTCGATTCAGTAATTATATATTGAAGAAAAATATAATTCGTCAGTCCAACATTTACATGTTAGTCTTTTGAAATGTCATGTATAGATGTTAGATCTCCACTCTCATGCCCTAACATTATTAATTTCTGGTGTAGATCAATCAAGAAATGCAGTCATATAAATTAATATGGATGGGATACTAATAAACTTATGTTGGGTCATGTGTGGTAATAGCTTAGTCAAAAGACTCATTACTCGAAGCGTTACTTCCGAATACATGAATCTGAATTAGTCCGACTTTAGTATAGGTTAAAAGTTTAGTTAAAAGACTTATTACTTGGAGCGCTACCTCAAATGAATTTTATTCGACGCGAATCTGAATTTATCCAACTCCAATACAAGAGAGTTAGCAAATATTATCCAAATATATATGAAGTCCAAAGGGGAAGAGTCTAAAAACAGTATTCTTCAATAAAAAAAAAATGGATCTTCCATCCTGAAATTTATAAAGATTTGTGATATTGCGTTTTGTTTAATAACATTCTTCACACAAGTTAAGTTGATTAATGAAAACTACTATTCTCTCTCCCATTTATTTTTATTTGTCATAGTTTTCATAAATTGGCACTTTGGTGCCTTTAAAAATGATTTTCAGAATTTATAAAATAAGGTCAATGAATAAAAGAAAATGAAAACTACTTGAGTGTTATTGTAATTTTAATTCTCATTTATACATAATTCAGTTTCCAACTTTAAACTTCTCAGATTGGCTTTTATCCATTTCATTTTGAGAAAAGACATAAATTTCCCCCTGAACTTGTTTCGAAAAATCAGTTACACGCTTAAACTATCATGACGACCTATTACACACTCAATCTTGTTTAAGGTGAAATTAATACCACCTTCCAAAGACAATATCAGTTTTTGTGTGAAAATGTGTTATATACACGTTTTGTCACGTAAATAAGATTATTTTATTTTTTTAAAATTATTTTTGCTAAATATTTTCTTAGACTTTTCCCAAAAGTAGAAACCTAGGCTTTCTTCTTCCTCTCACCTTACACTTCTTTCTTCTTAAAATCCATTTCCGCTTTCTTCTTCATTATTCATAAATTGAAGGGAAAACAAGAAATTTGAAGAGTGAACATGAGACAATAAGACGATTATGAAGTTTAGTGATGTTGGAGGCGGCGATAGGCGGTGGGCAACACCATTGTTGCCGGCGAAACAAATAAAATCTTTCAGATCTGTAAAAGTTTTTTTGAAATCTTGATAGTTATGGATGAATATCAAGCATTTCATTAGTATTCTTTGTATGTAAAATTAAATATGTTATTGATGGCTTGAGACAAAAATAATATTGTGATGGTTGTGGGTGGTGTTCCGGCGAGAATAAAGAAACAAAAAATTATTTTCTTCCATGAATTTTTGAAAGATGTAGGCAATGAAATATGAATTTTATGCATAAATGTCATAGAATTTTCAATAGAAGTCATTATCTTTCTTATGATTTTTTCCGGTAAATCCTCCGGCGAGTTCGAATAAAAATTATGAACCTTAAGTTAAAATTATTAACTTTCCGGTGGAAATCAACAGCCTCTCCACTATTTTTTACTTCTATTTAGAGTTACTTTTTAAGATAGAGTGATGGGTATTTGAAGAAATCATCAATGGTGACAAAGAATTTGTAAAGAAGAAGAACTTTTAGAAAATAAAATAAAATGTAAAAGCTTTAAAGAAATTGGGGTCACCAATAAAAAGAAAAAAATAAAAAAAATGACATAATTATTATATTAGAAATTATAATACTTAATTATATAATGACCAATAAAATAGTGTCACGTGTTTAAACTTGTCATTTTAACATAAATTTTCTTCTTCTCACACACCTTAAGGAAGGTGAAGACACTTTTTGTGCCAATTGCCATGTCAACTTCTAAGGGAGTAATAATATCACTT